ACGCCATTGGCGGCTCGGGATCAACTTACATCTACGGTTATTGCGATGCTCACTGGAGGGAGAACATGACGGAAGAAGAAGGCATCAAATTTGTGCGCAACGCATTGCAGGAGGCGATCAAGTGGGATGGCAGCTCCGGAGGCGTGATTCGGTTGGTGGTGCTGACGTCCAGGGGAGCTGAAAGACATTTGTATTTGCCAGACACGGACTACACTGCACCTGGCATAACCAACAGATCATGAGTGCAACATATATGGGATGATTTGAAAGATCTTGACCCCTTAAAATGTGATCATCTGCATCAATATCCGCTGACGCAGCACCTCTCCAGTCGCGAGGACGAATAATTGCCTTGTCGAGAGGCATCACCAAGATAGAGGGATTCTTCACATCCAAGCAAAGATCATGTAGCGGAGTATGAGGGACATCTGAAAGTGACGGTTTGCGGGATTTAAATGGACCTGATAATAATAAAGACATTACCTACAATCTCAGTTCCCTGTCGTCGACCTCCTCAAGGTCGATAATAATAGGAACTCCGTAGCGCGTTTCATACGTATCATGAGCGCAGGGGATTGTCTCGGTGAGAAGAGAAACCAATGATGCTTTGACTAGGAGAACAATGCTCTTTCCAGTGATGCGATTGCTCATTTCCAGCTCGAGTTGTGTCGAATGAATAATGGATCAACGACGTGAATCATTCGGCATCAACAAAGTGATTATGCAATGTAAATACTTGATATGCCGGTGGACCAAGGATCGTAACAGGAGAACTCTAGAAGATGAACCAGTCATACTCCGTACTAGGCAGACCCTTTGCGAACCCGAATCATTGCGGATCCCCTCAGCACCTGCACCATCAGAGTCCTGTCATTCGTCCGCTGGAGCCCGCCTTTAGGTATCATAGTGCTAGGTAGTAACTATCCGAAGTACTTGGTAGTTTTGGATTCTGGTCCGGATGCTTGGAGTATCCCAGTATTTGTCCTTTTCTGGTCATGGACATAGAGTATGTCGCCGACTCTGTTGGGATATGTATCTTCTTGAGGGATGAAGAGTGGTCGCTAGTACTGCGGAGAACGTCATCTTATCGCCAGGGAATCGTCAGCACTATCCAATAAAGACCATCATGATAGTAGTGCTACTGTTATTGGTAGCTGGGGTACGGAGTTCTCCTGTAAGACAACTTAAGGTAGATGTAGTGTTGAAGCTTTAAGATAGTATGTAGAGAGGTAAGTTCCGTGGCTAGATATCGGTCAGTCATGTTGATGGAGTTGACAGACTGAATTCCATACATCACAATCATTAATATTTTCTTTTTCTGGTTTATCGTCAGCATAGATAGACAGTAGTATTCATCATCGTCAACATCATCACTTGGTGATTGTGGAACCCTCCATCCTTCAGATTTCCCTGTTGGAGTCTCCCTCATCATCCTGTAGTCTATCGTCTTCGCCACTACTGACTGAATCTCTCCTGATTTCATCCTCCGCCTCTTTCCTTTCTCCTCTCCCATCCTTCATTCCATCCTTCTCTGTCTCTCTCTTTTCCTTCATTTTGTTTTTCGTCCTATCTTTGCTTTTTTTTCCCTGAAGCCTCATCTTCACTATGGACCCTCGAACTGCTTTTTATCCTCTGTGATCCCTTTTCCAGCCTGGGACGGGTCCATTGCCTCCCGTGCTCTGTGACCTCTCAGTAATAATCGCGGGTAAAACTGCGGTCTCCAGGTCCAGGCTCTTCTAACGTTTCTTGAATTTCTTGTTTATAATAGAATAGTAATCAACCCCTCCTTCTGCTTAGACGTTCAAGCCCAATCCATCTCGCACCATCTTCGAGTCTTGCGATCGAGACTCGACTTCCCCCATGTTCCCCACTTCGCTTGTCCTCAATGCTTTCTTGAGGCTGATTGTTGTTCCGCCACGGTTGCTCTAGGATTCGCGCGATTTCTCGCAGTCGCCCTCTATTTCTTCCTCGGCTTGACATGGGATCGGTCGTTCTGAATCTACCGCGGTCGGATCGAATTGATAGCTCCTACACGATGCTGGGAGGCTCCATCAACCCATCAGAATCTGTTTATCGGACCTCATCTCACCACCCGTCGTCACAGCTGGAGACCGGAAGCTCCAGGTCTACGTCCGCGACTACTACCCCCACCTCGGCCACGGCCCCGCCATCGACGTCTACCGCTGGCTCTGCTCGCCTGCACTCCCACCCACCACCATATGATGTGCCGGCCTACATCACCCGTCAATCTCACATCAACTCCCTTCCTTCCACCCGGGCGTCTTCAACTACCCCAGGGCCAACTCACACCCCTCCCCATTCGGCCTCAATGAGCTCGACCACCGCTAGCCACACACACCACCCCGAAGCTTCCTTCCAGTCGACTCCATACACCTCTAACCGATTCGGAAATGTCAGCCAGACAACCACGGAGCCGACTCTGGTCGCTTCGTATAGCCACTCATCACCCGCGTCGCCGCGGTTGAGGCCGACATTTCAGTCGCTACGCTCTCTTGGAGGCTCCGAGGCCAGTTCGCCGAGTCGCATCAAAGTTCGTGACCTGTCTCATATCCAGAGCTTCGCCAGCGAAGAGTTTTTGGCGCAGTCGCAGAGGAGCCAGACGCCGGGGTCATGGTACCAAGAGCGCCAGTATGAAATCAGTTCCATGCCGGTCACGGATATCATTGAGATGGTTGCGGGGCTCCTGACGAAAATCACCACCACCAACGACCTGCACCACGAGCAAGTCCATCGACATATTCCGCCACCTGATAGCACGGCCAACCTCAGCCCACAAGCTACCAGCGTACTTGCTTTTCATGGCAAAAACGTACCGAGTATCACTATTCTCAGTTACCTAACGCGTATTCACAAATATTGTCCCACCACCTACGAAGTTTTCCTCAGCCTGTTGGTATATTTTGATCGCATGACGGAGTTAGTGAACAAGGGCCAACTTGAGCGCCTGCAGCGCCGCTGGGACCGTGGAGCAACTGTACACACTGACCCATCCAGGTCGAGGTTTTCTGATTCGTCGACCGGTCATCATACGCAAGCATCCCCAATGGTCACTCCACCATCATCGACCGGGATGCGAGCGCAGGATCCAAAGAGTCCATCCTCCATTTCACCGTCTCTTTACCCTCAGGACGAGAACGAAAGCCTCTCCCATTTTTTCGTCGTCGATAGTTTTAACATTCATCGGCTGGTCATCGCGGGCGTGACTTGTGCCAGTAAATTTTTCTCTGATGTTTTTTATACTAATTCTCGATACGCAAAGGTGTGTCACCTTTGAACCGAGGTAAAAACAAATTCGCTAAATTTGGATCAGGTCGGAGGGCTCCCCTTAGTCGAACTAAACCATCTCGAACTTCAATTCCTCCTCCTGAACGATTTCCGCCTCTCGATCTCCGTTGAAGAACTCGAAGCGTACGGTACGATGCTGGTGGAATTCTACGCTCGAGAAATCATAGCCCAGCAGCAACAACAGCAGGCACAGAATCCAGCAGTGCCTCGTCCGATGGACCCATCCACGGCTACCGATTCCCAATCGGACGGGATGTATATGCGATCCCGCGAGAGGCGCGGAGCCGACCAGCCAGAGGTCCACCAGACACCTACGCCCCCATAACAGCCATAGCTCAAATATGGCCTGCCAGCTGGTAACCTTTAACCTTGCAATGCTATAGTTACGGGGTTTACTGGTCTATTGCGCGCGGATATGTATCAATGACCGACCTGCTCTCATTTGATGATTGGCGTCACATACCCATTTTTTCGCTCTAGCCTTGTGCTTGTGCTGCTCCCGGTTCTTCTTCGCGCGTCTCCAAGACATCGCTTCATCACTTGACATTTTTTTTCGTATAGACTTTGGGCTGTCAGCATGTCGGTTCTCTCACATTGATTCTGGCGACGTTTTTATATCTTTTCTACTGGTTTTCATTCGTCTTCGATATCCTGCAGTCTTGAATCACCTTGTCCCCGCCTGTTGTCTCTGCATCCATGAGCTGGCGTTGCCGGCGTTGTTCTCTCCACTGTCTCTTTCCACTTCTATTCAGACAGTCTGGCCTTGCGAATCATAACGTTATATTCTCTTTCTAATTTCCCACTGAGGTTGATCAATTGCAATCTCAAGCTCCATTCTCAGAAAACCGCATGCGGTATGCATCTGCTCTATCAACTACCATGCAGACACGGAAATCACAGTGAAAGAGCCACTGCGACTGGGGCTGGATGCCTCTCATCCATACTTGCCTTACAAGAACCAAGTATCAGATGGCATCGAACTCTAGGGCCTTGTGTATGTATCGATCGCTTGCATCATAGCAGGATCAGACAGATGAGACACGTTGCATTTAATTCACATAGTTGATGGCCACAATGGATAGATCCGTTCTTTCCTGATCTGGAACAAAGTAAGCAGACAAGTGTCATGTCGAAAGCTTCGTTTGACCTGCAGCCATAGCACCTGTAGATATAAAGCTCTGATTATCTGGTTATCAAGAGTAGGCCCTGACTTCCTGCATCCGATATGTAGGGATATGCAGATGCAGATGCATGCTGTGCATGCAGCAGCGTATGCAGCTATGTACCCCTTACACCAGTTTAGGTTGCATGGAAAACACCCCATTCAATTGTTTCTGCCTCTGATACGTAGACGAACAATATAGGGAAGCATATGGCTTGAGGCTGATCATGCAGCACAGTACAGGGACTGTACAACCGCCGTCAAGCTCCCGCTGTCATCATCTACCGCAACTTATGATTGGATACGTCCACAAGACCTCTATGCATTTGCCTTTTTTAAGGTCGAGAGCAACGATAGTGAATGTTGCAGAATCTGAGACTCAAGTCTAAGAGGGCAAGCGCCGACTCTCGTCCGATAGGCATACATGAGTATGTGGAGTGAAAATTGAAAGATGGCATTGTCAAAGCCCACGGAGAACAGCAAGAGCAATCGAATCAAAGGGGACTGGAATAAGTGATATGTATAGAAACCATCAGTCCGTATGTGCGAAGCGCGAAACATCGAACAGAAAACAAACAAGACCAACAACCCGAACAAAGAATCCATCCACCTCGACACACCAAACCCGCATCGTCCAAACACCTGGCGACGGATGATCATAGTCCTTGCTGTGGTACGTTAGCAACGGCTCTGAGAAACGATCCAGCGAAAGCTTGACTCACGTATCTTGCTTCGAATGCTTGCCAACAACCTCCAGCCAGAGCACACATCCAATTCGTCTGCCCTAGATCATCTCGGTCAGTGCGAAGAACACACCAACAAACGACACCAAGCTTACCTGTGGTATCTGTCGGAGTTGCCCCTACGTCCAATTTTCCGGTAATCCACAGAACCGTTAACACGCTAGGAGATCTCAGCAGTTGCCAGTGAAGCAGCGACCAACATTGGGACTCACCATGTGTTCCAGCAACACAAGCCACCATCCTCCGGCACCGTCCTGAAGACTCTCTCGATCGGCCGCGGGCCTCCGGCGCTTCAATTCAAGTCAGGCAACTCAAAGAAGCGCGACTTGTGTCACCAGAAAAGCACTCACCTCAAGTCAAATCGAAACTCGGCTGCAATACAGTCTTTCAAGAGTGACTACCAACCACTAGATCGTATCAGTGCCAGTTGCACAACCAAAGGAAGAGCAAATTACCCCCAGCTCGACGCTTTTGCGTCACCACAACCCTCCGGATGCGTACGCACTGTTTGGTGTCGGTCTCGAAATCGGTTCGGCGGGGCGGAGCGTCGTCCTTGGCGCTTCTGGCTAAGGGCCTATGACTTACTTCGCGCGTACGGGGGTGCGTCATTAGACCTAAAAAGGGAACCTCCCAAGCAGAATACCCTATAATTCCAGTCAATCCAGCTTCGATCATGTCAGGAGACGGTCAACTTACCTTAACATCAGAACAGTAGCGCCATCAATACTTCAACAGGACAAAGTACGCCAGCGATCTGTAGACTCATCAGCAGTACCTGGTTGGTCTTCCCCATCAAAGACCAGAGCCAGCAGAGAACTATGTGAAAGGGCGGAGCTGAACAAATGGACAATATGGTGTCACAGTGGAAACGAACGTTTATCTCGAGAAACCAGTCATCCTCATGAGACTCCCACGGAACGCAGTGGAAGTGGCCCGGTAGCCGCTCAGGAACGACGTTTGAACACGTGCCTCGTCGGCACGATCCAGCGAGATACAGGCTGTACCATAACATCTCCGAAACGAACACGCTTCGCTGGCTTATCTTTGCGGAGTCGGTCGGCTGGCGAAGTCGAATGTTGAGTACGTACCAGGTCTGCAGCGGGAATCGCTGTGCTTTGAGTGCTGTTTGTCGGGGTCGGGTGAGGTAATGTCAGGTGTCCCGCGAGGGATCGGTTGGCGAGTCGTGCTTGACGCTTGGCTCGGAATTGCTCAATGGCAGCGGAACTAGTGGCCCGAGTCGAAGCACGTGCCTCTTGCTGAGCGATCATCTCGTCGATCCAACGGCGTCGCTCGGCCTGGGCGGCGCGAAGGTCGGAGATACGGTCGAAGACCGAAGGAGCGGAAAGACGAGCTTGCACTGAGGGAGTGGCTGAGCGAGTGGCGTTGACAGAAGAAGCGGAAGGCCGGGCTTGTTCCGAGCGAGGGACAGGACGAGCTACGTTGACAGGAGGAGCGGACGGACGGACTTGTTCTGCGCGAGTGACAGGGCGAGTGGCGTCATTGGGAGGAGCGGAAGGCGTCGACTGTTTTCGTGCTCTGACACGGGCGACAACTTCGTTGAAGGCAGCAAGTTTCGAAAGAGTGGCGCGCCGGTTGGCAGAACGAGCGGCTGCTTCTTCGGCAAGAATGCGGATGCGCTCAGTGAAGCGGGTGGGACGGGAGGTCGGAACAGAAGAAGTGGAAGCGAGTTCGACTCGAGGTTGGGTTCTAGGGTCGACTCGCGGTCTCTCTGGGAGACCATAGCGGGAACGAAGGGCTTGAGAGCGGAGTCGAACTCTCTCCATAATGGTATGAACGACGTCAAGGGGTCCATCCTGTTGAGCAGCTCCTCGACTCTGCGAGGGACGGCTGCGGGTGAGAGTGTCACCTGTCCCAGTGCGAGCTGGAACAGGTACACGAACGAAACGAGTAGAAGGAGCAGAACATGCAGGAGCAGGGCCAGAAGCACGGGAAGACCGAGTGGCAAGATACGAACCTCTACGTACCTTAGTTGAAGAAGATACGCCAGCTGAACTGATGGGCGAACAGTCTGACACAAAAGAGTTGCAAGGAATCGTCGGAGTCCGGCGGCCCTTGAAGGTGGAGAAAGAAGAGGAGGAGGAGGGAGAGGAGAAGGAGGAAGAGGTGAGGGAGTACCCAAGCTTGCTGAGACGAGACATTGCGAACAACGACCGTCAAAACAATTTGGTCAAGGACGGAAAAAGAGGAAAAAGGGAAAACGGGAGCAAGAAAACGGTGGTACAGGAGCAGGAGCAGTAAGCGCAGAAACACAATATGAAGTTGAGACGAACGCAGAGCGTGAAATCACGATACTAGCATCAAACAACCATATGGTGTTGAGGAGAGAAAGAAGAAGAAAGAGGAAAAAGAGGGAGGAGAGAAGAAGTGCTTTATAGGATCTGTTTTCAGTCCCAGAGAGAGGTAGAGGAAGGAGCTCAAGAGGAAGTCGAGGAGGAAAGGGCAGCACCGACAGAGGGCGTGAGGAAGCAACGAAGGTAATGACGGCACCAGGGAGGCACATATCGACTGCTACGGCAATAGAGGAACGACAATTGGAGCGATTGACATGGGATGGCATGGGAGAGCATAAAATAAACGGGGTGTCCAACATCATATATCCAATCGGACAGAAGCTTGTAGACCTGCAAAGATGTCGATGTTGCTGGCGGACATTTTGCTTGTCGTCGCCAGACATATCCTGCTCGTTAGTCCGCTGATGCCTAGTAAAGTTTGAGACGTTAGAAGCAGGCAGGAGCAGGAGAGAAATTGTCCAATTCAAGAGTCCTTGAGAGAACAAAAAAGGTATCGTCCATTCAAAGCACTGCTACAATTGGTAAACTCATATCATCGTATGCATGCAGAATCATAAACACCACTTCTCGGCCCCCTTGTGTTGGCCTATGCCTGCGCCTGTTCTCCGGTGCGCCCTCATTATTCATAATTCCATGCGGCATGCCCGTGTTACTGCTGACTCTAGCATCACTCGATCCGCGGAGGACTCGACGACTTCTTCCCCAGCGGACTCAGACTTGAACTGTTCCCCATCAGTACGGGCTGTCATCTTCAGGAAGATGAATGAGGTGAGTTACTTACGACCGACGCCTCTCGCCTTCTTTTCGAAAGCCGTCGATAATCTTGGCGATCTCTTTCCTACCAGCACGAGCATCGACCTTCCTCCCACCCAAGCTCATGCTGACTTTCTCATTTGCATTGGCAGTTAACAGCCGTTTCAGAAGAAGATGCCGCATACTCAGGCATACGAAGACGCCGCAATCGCTGCCATTTTCTTGTACGGGGGAATCTTCCAGATGAATAAACCGTATTGGCCGGTTGAGAAGCGTGCCAAATTTCTGCGTGACGGCTCTTGCCTCCCAGTAATTCCCCGGAGGCAGCGAATCATAATGAAATGCCACGCCGTCAACGATGGATATCAGCAGAAGCGACCAGTGCGAGCCACCCTCTGCTTCAGTCACGTTCCGGCAATCGTTAATGGGAAGAAAGACATGCGTTGTACGCGAGAAGTCGGGTAAAGCCTCACGCAATGAGTGAGGATTCGGTGTCTGCAATAGCATGAAAGACATGCTGGGACGAAGAAGCACAATATTGGACGTCTTATACTGGACGAGGAACTCCCTCTCCAGATATCTGGATCCATCAGTTCTCCGGTAGCCATCACAAGACTCGCCCGACTTACTCCTCCCAGAAGGAAATAATCTGCGAGCACGTTAGTTACCGCGTGCATTCTACGGCCACTATGCAACCCACATTATCCGTAAGCCAATCATTCTTGAGAGTCTGCATGTCCTCCCTCGTCACTGCAATCTGTCAGGCAATCCAATCACGCTGATACAAACCCGGGGGGGGACCGTACACCGTATATCGTAGTCTATCAACTCCGGCCCTAGTCAAATCCACTTTGTTCCGAGCAACAATGGCGAAGAGGAAAACCACTCACAACTAAGATACGCATCCTCCGGGTTCAACTGTCAAAGTTAGCACATCTCCAGCTCAAATATCTCCGCAGACCCGCCAAGAGTCTCTCACACGGGTCTTCCAGTCAGGTCGCCCTACTTACAGTATCACCAAACCGCCTCATCTTCTTGTGCAGCTTTCCTAAGCCTCCGTCCCGCATTGTGTCCGGCTCGTGCACTCAATCCTCTGCGCTCACTATATATACGAACCGTGACAGTGCGAATAGAACCCAACTTCGGCGATATGGAACGGGATGAATTTTGCGTAAACCGATCAAAGGACAGTGCTCGTATCGATTCAAAGGCACCTATACAATGAGGAATATACAAATCCAAAGAAAAAAAATTAAATAACTTCTCGATTCAGACCGCCAGCTTTGCAAGACAAGCATCACCTGAACGAGGACGCAGCGGGAATCGGAGATTCCTTTCAAGAATGGGCTCGTACGACCTTGCGGGGGTGGGGAAGATGGATGACGGGATCGGCGCAGGGAAACGGTGACGAAAAGGTTGCTGTTATAGTCCTGTTCACAATTGGGTGAACCTGGAAGTAAGGCTTGATATCACTGACGGAGCCCCTTCGCCCCCAAGCTCCTCGTCGTCGACAGGAAGATTCCAGCTTGCTCCCTGCGGCGATCAATAAGCCACTCCAGAGTGCCGCGGTGCAAGACGTCACTTGAGGCTCGTGTTGCGCGTGGCTGGTGTGTCACGTGATCGTACCATGACTGGCTTTCTGGGTGGGCAACTTTCGGAGGCTCTAGGACTACGGAGTGAAGTGGTATAGACATTCGAATTTAATGCATTCGTCGCTCAATCAGGGGTATCTAAATGTACATTCGAATATTGCCTTCTGAATGGCAAGGGCAATGGCAATAGGTCAATCAGCCGCTTCCTTTTCCACCAGCGTAATTGCAACCAAAGATCTCCTTGTCCGTCGTATCAGAAAATCACGCCATAAACAGACAATAGAAAGCAAATATGAAGGTTGAGTCCAACACTGGCCCATGCATCAGATTCATTCACTGCCGCAGCGGAATGTGATATGAATATAAAACGTAGATGAAGGGTCATCCGGGGCCATGGTACTCTGACAGAAAAACAATTCAAGTATTTCGCTGGGAATCGTCATGCAAACATAAAACATCATAACACGCGGGATTCTACCCGCGTAGTCAACTTCTAGCTCGAGAGCTTCGCAAAGTGTTTGTTCCAGATCCAACCGACCTGGTGGGTTGGATCGTCCTGGTTTATGGCAAGCCAGAGCTCACCCTTTTCAGCTATGACATCGAAAATCTCTCCGGCGACATAAGTGAGATAAGGATAACCGGCTTCGCGCCGCGCCCGATCGATATTGAATTCATAGATGCTTGCAGCGAGGAAGAGGACCGTCGGCGCCTTGGGCGCGGTGTCCTGCACAGGTGCGTCTTCCTGCGGATTATCCGACATGGGCATAGCGGACGAGAAAAAGCCCGAATAACGACCTCCAGGAGAGGTTGGTGGATTCCCAGAGACCTGGTCGTTGTTTGATGAAGTGGTCATAATGTCGACGAGAAATGGGGAGTCAAGACTTAACCTCGGCAGGCTGGGAAACGCTTCTGTCTTGAACGGTGGGGCCGCGGACGCAGATGAGTTCGTAATCTGCTGCAGAATCTGACTCCGGGGGATCTCAGAGGTTTCTGGCGCAGTACGACCAGAGATAGTTGAATCGGCTCGATGGCGGCCGTACGATCCCAGGGATTGAGCGTCGAGGCTTGGAGACTGGAAGATGTTGCTGCCGTTACCGAAGTCGTGGGAGACTTTAGGTGATTCTCCCATGGTAGACCCTATGCGAGTGCTAGTGCTATTCACAGTTGAGGGTCGCCGAGGCGAACTGATGGTAGGTGCAGTCGAAGGAGTGTTGAAGTTGACAAGATTGATAGTATCAGCCAGCAGCGATCCGTTGCACATGCCAAGCGACAAAACCTGCGCCTCCGCCAAAGTGAAGTTAGCAGACCAGTCACCGATGATCTGCTGGATATCGTCCGGAAAGGGGTCGATGAGATCCGCAAACTTTTTCTGAAGGATGTTGAACCACGTAGTCTGTATGTGCACAAAGTTTTTCAGGCATGCCTCCATCATCTTAGCGGTCAGAGAGTAGAGCTTGGGCAATTCCTCCTTGAGCGTCTCATTGAGAGCTACGAATTGTTCGCTTTGCTCTGTCGTTTTCTTGTCGGGCTTGTCACCACGGTCCTTGATGGATTTGAAGCGGGCATGGTCCATGAGACGCTTGTCTCGTTTCTTCATCACTCTCTGGGGCCCGTCGTAAAGTTTGAGCAGCGTAACCATCGGGTCAATCACACTTTTCCGGACAACGGCGAGCTGAAAATTTGGCATTAGCCCGAAAGCTCATTTCCACACGTCAAGGGTCTGCTCAACTTACATGTTCAGGGAGAGCTGTGGCCATTATTTCATGCACTGCCATCTTCAGGTCATGCCACCTGCTCTCCACGTCCAAGTAGCCAGACTGAGCCACATCGACGAATCCTTCAATCGCGGCGACAAACTCTCTAAATCGATCTAAAGAGCTCTGGACTTCCCGTGTGTACATCTCCACATCACGCATCACAACTTGTAGCTGGAAGAAATTATCTCCAAATCGTTGCGATAGGGCGTCGTACTGCTTGTCTTCAAACATATCGGAAAGGCCGACTTGTTGTCTCAATTTCTCGGTGCGACGACCAAATGCCTTTGACAGCCCAGCTCTGACATCCGACTCTTTCCTCTTGCGGCCGACTACCTGACCGACCAAGTCTGCCCGTTTCTTCATTTCGTTGATACGGACCGAGATGTTAGTGACCTCTTCTAGAGCATTTACCAGATATGGACGGTCTGGGTGGTCGCTCGGTGTTGACTCCAGAATCTCGTTTAGGAGTAAGGGGTACTTTAATATTCGTTGCACCGGCTTCACAAGTAGCGAGTCTAGGTCCCAAGCCGTGGTGAGATCTGAAGCCCATTCCCGACATTCTTTCAGCCAAATGGCTACTTTCGTGTTTCGTTGCAGTACTTGAAGTTTCTTGTTGGCGGCATCGTGGTTCTTCAGATAATCGGCGTACACTTTCTCCATGGGATTGATATGAGCCAGGAAAACCTGACCAATAAAGGTTAATCTGTCCTTCTCTGTATCGGAGACTTCACTTGCGCCACTCGCAGCCTCTGAGTCGGTCCTGGATGCGTTGGTATGATTGTTGCGAGCACTGCGTTTACTGCTCCATCGCTGAGACTTTGGCATAACATAAACGCTTCTTGCAG